TACCAGTCTAAATTTATCAAGGTGTATTCAGAATCCACATCCAGGAGACCAGATGATATATATGAATACAGGATCAGCACTACAGGAGCAAAAGTTTTTGATGAAATCTACAATCAGATAGCAGAACAGATTACAGCAGAAGATAATGACAACTCATACTGGAATAGCTTAGGAGAAGAAGAGCTACACAACATAGATAACATGATGGATGCATGAAGACCACGTGAAGAATCCATCCAGCAGAATAGTCGCCAAACTATTTGGCTCCATACGGCCAGTACAAAGCAACATATGAAAAGAAGAAACATTTTGGTTTCATCCGGCTAGCAGAAGCAGAAGGATTCCCTAGGAAATTTAGATATGAATAAGGGCATTATTGTCCAACCACTTTAATTTTGTCCTTCTTTATAAATACTGTACCCATTTTGGGTTTATTTATAAGTCTCCCTTAAAAAAAATCAACTTTCAACCTCCCCCTCCCCTTCCCTATCCTTCCCCTTCCGTCTACCCCTCTCTCCCCTTCCGTCTACCCCATCCTCCACTTCCCCTCCTTCCTCTTCCATCTCCCCCACCCCTCCACTTCCCCTGCTCCCAATACCAGACCCAGCCGCCCAAATCTCTCCACTCCCCGAATTCAGTGGCTTCTATCCAATTCATGGAGAACCCAAAAACCGACGAGGCCTCAAGATTAGGCTAAACCCAGTTGAAAACGAGCCTTATGCTTTGGATGATGGGTCTATGTAGGCTGCTGGGTTTGAAAATCAAGAAAAGCCAGCATCTTTCGCAAGCCAGCATAAAGAAAATCCATTTTTCCTCCATTGTTAACCTTTGTGTTGGGATTAGGCAAGCCAAGAAAGGATTAGATCCAGAATCTCCATTGCTTTTGGCTTTTTCCAAAAGTGAAAGTTTTTGTGTGGCTAAAACTTAAGGGGGGTGTATTCAATTAGGATTTTAATAGATTGTAATCACATGATTTTAATGTAATGGATTTCAGCATGATTTGTAATTACAAGATTTTACTTATGATTTTAATAGATTGTAATTACATGATTCTCTTATGATTCACTTGGGATATTTTTGTATTCTCCAAAGAATCAACAGATTTGCTCTAGGATTTCATATGAAATAAAAATTATATAATAACATAGATTAATTATGCTACATGAATAAATAACCAAATGATAAAAGTAATAACAATAACGTCATGTAGCAACTAGACATGGCTTAAGGAAAACAAAAGCTATTCAAGACGTAATAAACATTTGTTGGAGCTTCATCTCCTCATATGACCTAGATAGCATCTCTGCACATAGCTGAAGCTATGCTAGCTCTCCATGTATTAGCATCCTCTCTTTGTTGGTCTTGGGTTTGATAAATCTGCTCAAAATTGTCCTCTTCATCAACTGGTATTGATGAGGATGAAGATGATGAAGATTTATCAATTGGCTCAATAGGAAATTCATCGGAACGACACTCCTTACGAAGAAAGTTGTGTAATGCTGCACATGCCAACACTAGCTCTACTTGTGTGTTAAATAGAAATGGAGGAGCTGACTTAAAAATTGTGAAGCGCGATTTAAAAATACCAAATATCCTCTCGATCACATTCCTTAAGGACGCATGACGAAGGCTGAACAACTCATTTTCATTTTCAGGATCACGACCATGACCTGCAAAATCTTAGAGATGATATCGCACACCTCGAAATGGAGCTAAAAATTGGCGTCGGTTGGCAAATCCACAATCCACTAAGAAATGTTTACCTAATTATATAGTACACACACATATATATATATATATATATATTAGTATGCAACATAGAAATAAAACGCATTTCTAACCAAAAAGATAAGCATTTACCTTAAGGACCTTTAAGACCATTCCTCCTTGATAAAGCATACTTAACACTTTTGAATCATGAGCCGAACCCTCCCATCCGCTAAGGACATACATGAATTCCAAATCAAAATTGCAAGCCGCTAATACATTTTGGGATATATTTCCATGTCGATTACGATAGTTGCTGACATCGCGTCCCCTCACTATTGCTGGAATATGTGTCCCATCAATAGCTCCAATGCAATCCTGCAATAATTCAAAAATGTAATGGTATAATAATAATAATGTAATAGTAATAATAAGGATAATAATTATTATTATTATTATGGAATGGTTGTCACTTACCTTGAAATAAGGATAAAACCTTGTACTTTCTCTTATTTTAGATGGCACTCCCGATCCTGGTTTAGCCATCAACTCAGATGCTATTGTATTCAAAGCCCTCAAAACTTTGTGAAAATTTTCACTTGTGGCGAATTGTGATCGCCCAAATGTTTTACGAATGACACAATATCTAGAATTTTGACCGACAATTTGTAAAAATGCTGCTAGCATTTCTTCAACACAAATATATCTTGTGTCCTTTAAGAGTGTTTTTTTCTGGAAGGATAGTGCATAATTTTTGGAACACATCAGGATACATCCTATATACCTATCGGAAAATTGCGGGATCCTCGTTCAATGCCTGATGTATATAATCATATCCAACGGTAGTAATTCGTCGTCGAGTTAGCGGACGCTCAATATGTCCTTCATCCCCCTCTGACTGATGTAGCACTTGTATTAATGTTTGAGTTTCCATAAGTAAAATCTTAATGCCTTCATCAAATTCTTCATCCAAATCTTCATCTATTTCTTGTTCACCAATTTCTTCATTCTCCATTTCTTCTTCCTCTCTGTAAAAAAAAATAAATCAAAATTAACCAACAAATTAGGAATTGCAGACAGTGACATTGTTTGTAGAATTCAATTACATGAGACTACAAAGAAAATAAAAGATTAAAAATTAATTCTTTATCATGTAATTCACATGTTGATAAATAAAAAATAAAAAAGAATTCATACATATTAATCAGAACGATCAATTTTAATGAAATAAGAGCTATTGTTTCTAGTGATTAATGGAGACGTACTGTCTGCATGAGGACCTCATATTACTTTGTATAGATGATAGTTTTAGTTGGTCATATTACTTTATCGTTTCTAGTGATTTTCATACATATTATTTTAGTTGGTCACCACTTTTTGTTCATGGTGTGAAAAAAAAAATAGCATATTCATGGAAATTAAAATACAACAATGAAAACCAAATACATAGTCCAACCAAAATACATAGTTCAACGAAAATAGGAAAAAGTTCAATCAAAATATAACAAATTAAACCAAATGCATAGTTCAAAATGCATAGTTCAACCAAAATGACAAAACCAAAATACATAGTTCAACAAAAATACCAAAAATCAAATTCATAGTTCAACAATTCAAAGTAAACAATTTTCAACCAAAAACCAAGGTGATCCAAATAACAATTCATCCCAATTTGAAGGATATCCAAGATGAGCGCTCTTCGGGTGACATCTTCAAGAACATGTCTTGTCTGACTTTAGTATTAAGCAATTCAATCGCCAAGAATGAAGCATTGTCATCCAAGTTTGGTACATCCTTCATAGCATCCCAAATACTATATTCTCTCCATCTCTTTCTCTTTTCTCCATTAGAGCATAGATTTTCTCAAAATTGGTGGATATGGTTTCAAGAACTTTGGCTTGGTCGGTGGAACCAATTGAGTTAGAACTCCCTTCATACTTGGATCTACTTCTCTTCTTTTAACTTGTTTTTCCTTGAGGAACCTCAACACCTAAAGGGGACTCAAAGGGTGGTGTAGATTGGTTGGGTGATGAAGGTTGGAAGGATGGTTGATAGTGACTTGGTGCTACAAATGTCTCATTGGCAGCATCATATGTAAAGTCTTCCATCCCAAAATTTAGGTTTTCCTCGTCCCTAAAAGTTGTTGCATCGGTATCATCGACACCTAATGCAAGTGAGCCATTTCTAGTAGCAGTTGCACCCCCAACCACAATTTTTAAATCATCATAATTAGCAACATTTTTTGTCTGAAGGTTCTTGTGACTTGGGTGGGACTAGCAAAGAAAAAAAAAATGATGAGTGTTAATATATTATAAATAAAATATTAGAGCAAGCTAGCAAGTGACATAGCTTATAATATGAAGCTCACCTTCAAGTAATTTTCCCATACTTCATCACTAGCCGTGAACTTCTTTGTAATTGGGTCCCACCCAAATCCAGAGTTGTTATGCATAAGAGTAGTCATTTTGTCAAACTGCTTCTTATACCATCTCATTCAGCTCAATAATTGTTATATGTTTTAGGAGACACAGTTTTCTCATTTAGGCAAGGAAGTACTCTTTTTTCTATTGTTTGCTTACTTATTGACCCATTAGTATCACGCCATCCTCGACTGATACCATCAACCAATAGCTCTAACAAGAAATCGCTTTCTTCCTTGGTCCAAAGTTCATAATTATCGGAACTTTTTCCTTTTCCTTTGTCCTTTCCTTGTTGTGAATCCTTCATTTTACTACATCATACATGTAAGAGAAACCTCTTTTACTACTATATCATATATCATACATAATTTTCACAACTTTACATCAAACAACAATGATATAGCCAAATAAGCACATGAAAAAATGCAATTAGTATAAATTCATACTTGCAAAAAAGAAAGTTCATCTTTATCATAAATAAAAAAATAAAATAAAAAATCATAGCACAATGGTCCTTTTCTCCCAAGTGGGAAAGATAAAAAAAAACTAGTATCAAAACAAAGCCTTTATTGTTATTTGAATAGTTATTTCTCCAATTTTTACAAAAGTAATAAAATATTATTTTATGAAATAATAAATATAAATAAGTAAAACCATTCCTATCAAGTCTGTTCACAACAAACCAAAAACAAAGTAACACAACAAACCAAACCAAAGCAACACAACAACAGCAACGCATATAATAATGGGGTTTGGTATCATTCCTATCAAATCATTCCTATCAATCTTTACATAAACAAAAAGCAACACAGATATACACAGATGTACCACATCAGCAACACAAATAATGCAAATATAGACAAAAAAAATAATGGCAAGCATGTGAAGAGAAAAGATGAGAACCTTTTCTCCGTTGCTGTTGTTACTTCTCAAGTCTGTTCATCTTCTGTCCAGCGTGAGAATCAGATGTAAAATGGTTTGAATTTTTTATGGGTTTGGTATTTATATCACCCACTGAAAAGTCTCACAGATTACATCGTTTAATGAAATACTTCAAAATCGGTAAGTTTTTGAATACCACCGTACTTTTTCTAATCTTTTAAAAGTCCTAATTGAATACCATCAGACTTGCATTGATGATTTTAAAATCCTAATTGAATACCATCAGATTTTTATTGATTACTTAAAAATCATAATTGAATACCACTAGACTTTTAAGCTTAAAAAAAATCTATTAAAATCCTAATTCAATACACTCCCCTAAATTTACTTCCTTTTTCTTAACCTCTCTTCGACACAACGCAACCCCAGCCCTCATAGTAACAACCCGATCCTTAATTAATATTTAATTACTAATTTATTCCATTAAAAGACCATTATACCCCTATAATATTTTATTAGTTTAAAAGTTGACTTTTTGACCGGGAAGGAATTTGGGGATTTCAGTTGCACTGTTGTGTAGAGCGCGACAAAACTAGTCTGTAGACACGTAGTGGACTCAAATCGGAGTTGTAACGAAGGAGTTACGATCAAAAGAAGTTCAGTGGCATAACCGTAAATACTTCAAACTTCAGTTTTTAAAACCCAGTTTTCTTCCTCCTCCTCCAGTTCGGCCAGCCGACTTTAGGAGAGGGTTTCTCTCAGCTCTGACCACCAAATTGAGCAAGACCAGTGCCAAACGAACCACCT